CCCCACCCCTCTAAGGCCTTTGCCACACTATTGTCTTTGTCCATGGGTTATGCATATATGCATATAAGTTGTTAGATTAATCTCTCCACATCCACCCACCCACCCACCTTCCCCCTTCCTTCTGAAATTCCTCAGTCTGTTCCATGCTTCTTTGTCTCTGGATCTATTTTGTTCATTAGATTCCACATATGAGTGAGATAATGTGACACTTGTCTTTCTCTGCCTGGCTTATTTCACTTAGCATAATACTCTCCAGGTCCCACCATGCTGTCTTAAAGGGTAAGGGGTCCTTCTTTTTTACAGCTGCATAATATTCCATGGTATAAATGTCTGAGAAGATGCTTGATATGATTTCAATCTTCTTGAACTTGTAGAGACTTATTTTGTGTCCTAACATGTGGTCTATCTTTGAGAATGTCCCATGTGCACTTGAGGACATGCCTATTCTGCAGCTTTGGAGTGGAATGTTCTGTGAATGTCAGTTAAATACATCTGATCTAGTGGGTCATTTAGAGTCACTGTTTCCTTGTTGATTTTTTGTCTGGAAGATCTATCCAGTAGAGTCAGTGGATTGTTAAAGTCCCCTGCTATAAATGTATTGTTGTCAGTCTCTCCCTTAAAGTCCTCCAGAAGATTTTTTTCCAGCCTGTGTGAGTCTTTTGTTCTGAGGTGGGTCTCTTGTAGGCAGCAGATATTTGGGCCTTGTTTTCTTATCCATTCAGCTACCCTATGTCTTTTGATTGTTGCATTTAATCCATTTACATTTAAGGTTATTAATAGGTATTTCTCTATTGCCATTTTAATTCTTCATGTCTATGTTACTTTCTCTATTTCTACTTATTACAGCAGTCCCTTTAACATTTCCTGCAATATGGTTTGTTGGTGATAAATTCCTTTAGCCTTTTTTGTCTGGAAATCTCTTTATTTCACCATCTATTTTGAGTGACAGCCTTGCTGGATACAGTAGTCTTGGTTTCAGGTTCTTGCTTTTCATTACCTTGAACACTTCATGCCATTTCCTTCTGGCCTGTAGAGTTTCTGATGAGAGTCAGCTGACAGCCTTATGGGAGCTCCTTTGTAGGTAACAGATTGCTTTTCTCTTGCTGCCTTTAAGATTATTTGTCTTGAATTTTGGGCAGTTTAATTATGATGTCTCTGGGTGTGGCCTCTTTGGGTTCTTCTTGCTTGGCACTCACTGTGCCTCCTGAACTTGTGTGACTTTTTCCTTGACCAGGTTAGGGAAGTTTTCTGCCATTATTTCTTCAAACAGGTTCTCTAATCCTTGCTTACTTTTGGCCTCTTCTGGCACTTCTATGATGCAAATATTGTTACCTTTCATGTTGTCCCACAGCTCCCTTAGAATGTCCTCCTGGTTTTTTTGTGTGTTTTTTTAAAAAATATATCTTTATTGATTTCAGAGAGAAAAGGAGAGGGAGAGAGAGAGATAGAAACATCAATGATGAGAGAGTCATTGATTGGCTGCAGCCTGCAACCTGGGCATGTGCCCTGACTGGGAATCGAACCCTGATCTCCTGGATCCTAGGTCGACACTCAACCACTGAGCCACGCCCGGCTGGGCTGTCCTCTTGTTTTTAAATTGTGTTTTCCTCTTTGCTTCTCTGACTGATTTTTTTCTACCCTGTATTCTAATTTGCTGATCTGATCCTCAGCCTCTTCTAATCTGCTGTTTATTCCTTCCAATGTTTCTTTTATTTCTGCTATGTCATTTTAAATTTCCTGCATAGTTTCCATATCTTTTCTCATGCTGTTGAGCATCCTTACAATCAGTATTCTGAACTCTATATCTGACAGATTGCTTATCTCCATTTCATTAATCTCTTCTTCCAGAGAAATTGTCTTGTTTTTTCATTTGGGGCTTGTTTTTTTGTCTCCCTATTTTGGCTACATGTTTGGGTTTGTTTCTATGTATTAGGTAGATCTGCTAGGACTCCCAGTCTTTTAGATGGTCCCTGGTGCAGGCTAATGTCAGACACTGTTTATGATTGGCCTTGAGAATGCTGTTTGAAGCTTTCCACAATCCACAGTTTGTGGTTCCCTCTGCTGAGGCTGGATGTGCTTGGACAGGACCAAAATGTGCACCAAGGTCTGCTTTTCCAAGCCCTGGGTCCAGAAGTAGATCCGGCAAAAACTCAGAGGCTGATTGCTATCATAGTCTCTTAATGAGCCTCAGGCTGTAGAAACTCCACAGGTGTGGTGAGAGGCTTTCCAACAGGGTGGGGCAATTGCTTCCCCCTCCCAGGCAAAAGCTGCTTGGAAGGTAAATGTCTGCCTGAGAAAGATGTCCTCTGCAGTATGGGGGAATGACTTAGCAGCAGGGTCCAAATGGCTGCCCTTTAAGATCTGTTCCCCCAGCCAGTCCCTCTGGATTTTCCTCACACAGCTCTAGTCCTCTCAGCCCTCCCTCTACCAGAGTCCAAGGTGAGTGGCTGCAGACAAAACTTTGCGCATTGGCCATTTAAGAGGGTGCCTGCATTTCCAGCTGTCTCTTCCTGGCAGACAGAAATCCTGCTGCTTTTCACAGCCAGATGTTATGTGGGCAGCTTTCTCAGTTCTGGTGCTCTGGGCTGGGGAGCCCAGCCTGGGGTTTAGGCCCCAGAGTCCTCAGTGGGAACCCCCACAGCTGAGATACCCCTCCAGACCTTTACCTGCTGCCTGTGGGAGCCCAGCCAGCGCACTCCAGCTTCCGCACGTCCTACCAGTCTCTATGTGGTCTCCACTTTAGGTCATTGATTTTGAGGGCTCTCTCCAGCTAGTCTTCAGTTGATTATTAAGGGTGTTTTTTCTATATTTTAGTTGTAAGTCCAGTTTGGTTCCGGGAGAGTGTCAATGTAGCTTCCACTCAATCTGCCGGCATCTTGGAATCTCCTCTCCTTGTGTAGTTTTACTTGTTAAATATGGCAACTCTGAGCATGGGCGTGATTCACAAAAGTCTGGGACCAATGAGGAGCCAGAGTGAGACCCCAGGAGCACAGAGAGGAAAGATTGAGGAGGGACTGGGGGGGGGGTGCAGGGTAGCAAGGTCTAGGACATCTGCACGGCCAGAAGGAAGGACAGAGGAGGAGGCTCTGCCAGGCTGGTCAGCTGGAAGTGAGTGTGAAGGCAGGGCTTGAGCTGAAGCTGTGGGCTGAGGGATGAAGAGTGACTTGGAGGTGAGGACAGGAACCAGCCGGAAAATGAGCTGGTTATGGAAGGAAGGAAAGGAATGAGAGTAGCTGGAGCAGAGAGCAGGGTTGGGTGCTCATGGATGACAGGGAAGACTCACAGAGGGTGAGAAGGAAGGGACAGTGAGAGCTGGGCTCATTGTGCCAGTCATGCCAGGTGGGTGCTCTTAACTCTTGATGCACAAAGTTGTGGGTGGACCCAGCAGCCTCAGTGACTTGGAGCTGGTCAGAAAGGCAGGACCTCTGGCCTTCCCCAGACTTGGCTCTGTCTGTTGCCACCACTCCACCACCATCCGCTACCAATGCCTCCCTGGAGATGACCACTAAATTTTGGACCAAGTACATTTCCTCCACTTCTGGACCTAGCAGCTGTTCTGCACTTTGAGAGAGGAGGGACACACTGCAGTCACATCCTCGACTCCCCAGCACGTTTTGTCTGTTACGTGCACTTGAACCTTCCAGGCAGCACCTGTGTGACTCTAGAGGGTACACTCAAGTTCCCCCCCACACACACTTAACTTTGGAAACTGTCCCTTGCCTTCCTAGGTGGAAGGAGAAGGGATGGCCCCCCTTCCCCCGCTCTCCAACTCCATCTTCCATCTCATAGTTTGGTTGGTTACGTTATCTTTATTCTGTCCTCAAGGTTGACAAGTGAACTTTGTCTTCTGCTCTGTAACCATCACAAAGCTCCATTCTTGGGCTGTTGGTTGATGGTTATATAATGATAATGAAAAAATATTTACCATTGAACCATAGAGTATTCAGAGAAATGAAATCCTCGTAATTAAGACTAAGCTGTAGAAAGAGGGTACTCTAGGGTTCCAGGACCGATGGCTCTTCTTTTTCTCACTTTCTCCATTTTTTCTGTGCTGTGCTTCGCTGCTGGGCTGCTCTTTGTGCTCCCAGTTGCCCTCTTGCATAATTCTTTTTTTCTGTTCAGTAGAAGTATTTCCTTGATTGGATAGTAACCACCTTTTAAAAATTATTATTAATTTCCAGAGAGAGAGAGGAAGGGGGAGAGAGAGAGACATCAATTTGTTGTTCCACTTATTTATTGGTTGATTCCTGTATGTGCCCTGACTGGGAATCGAACGCGCATCCTTGGCGTATTGGGCTGATGCTCTAACCAACTAAGCTACCTGGCCAGGGCCTGGTAGTAAACATATTGAACTTTTAAATTTAGTTTGCCTTTTACAATGAGAGGTAATTTGCAACTATAGTTTGATATTGATGTCAACTATTTTTTTTCAAACAAAAATTGAATGTGTTTATTTAAGACATTTCTGTTAACAAGCACGGCTGGTCTTGCCTGCCTTAATGTGCCCTGATTTTGTCCACCAATAGCAGCTTGGCTGGAAATAGTGTTCAGAATCAAAATATGTCTTCCTCCAGGTCTTTGAAAGACATTTCTTTTTCTTTTCTCTTTAAAAACTTTTGCTCTTGGAAAATTAAAAAAAAATCTCTCTATGGTTTCTTAGCACCCAGTATTGGTGGTGAGAAGCCCAGTGTGAAAATGTGAGACTTTTCTCCATTTGTATGTTGATGTTAGTGTGTGTGTGGACATTTGTAGTATTTCACTTTGAAGGTTGACATTCTCTGGCAGGTAGGTGCCAGGGATGTGTCCTTTCCTACTGTTCCTCTTGTCATCTCATGGGTCCTTTCCACCTGAAGACGCCACCTCAACTCAGAAAAGCTGCCTTGCATTAGCACCTCATGTGCTCCTATCACCTTCTGTCCTCTTGTGGAGTATCTGTTGCACAGGCCTACTCCCTCGCCTGTCCTCTCACAGTTTCCATCTCTTTTCTTTAGCTCTGCACTCTGAGTCACTACTTAACTCTGTCTCCATGATCTTATTATTTGGGCTACCTGCTAGATTTGGTTCAGCAATTTCATTCTTTAAAATTAAAAAAAAAATTTTTTTCCAATTAATAGTTCATCAATTCCGTTATTAATGTAAGAACTTGCTAATTTCCATAATATTTCTTTTTCACACTAGCTAGTCTTGTTTTACAGATATAATATTCTTTTGCATCCCCCTGCAGAGACTAGTTAGAATTTCCTTAGAAAGTCTGTGCGGGTCCCTGAAGTGCCTCCATGTCTGACTGTTTGACTGGTCACCTGGTTTTCCCAGCACTGAGAGGTTCAGGGGTATTTTTTGGTATTGGAAGTGAAGTCCTGTGGGGCAGGGTGGGCACCCGACTCAGCTCTTCAATGCAGAGGCATGTCTGTGGGTGCCAAGATCCGGTGAGTGGTTGGGTTTGCCCACCTGCAGGCCTTCCTGGAAGCACTCCAGTGCCACCTGGGACCCCATCCAGGTGGCTAATGTCCACCTAATGTCTACTGCTGGATAAAGCACGAGTGAAGCCAGGTGGTCTCCCCAGACCCCGGCCTCCTCCAACACAGGGCTCCTGCTTTCCTGGCTCAGTTCGGTCTCTTTGGCTCAGAAGGCAGGGAGGGTCTCCAAATAACCGTTTCACCGCCTGGTAGGTGGAGCGGGTGCTGCACCCGCTGCTGCAGCAGCAATACGCGCTGCACCGAGCGCGCCTGGAGCCGCGCTGTGAGCAGCACCCCGCCGAGCGCGTCCTGTACCACGGCACGTCGGCGCCCGCCGTCCCGGACATCTGCGCGCACGGCTTCAACCGCAGCTTCTGCGGCCGCAACGGTGAGGCCCGGGTGGAGCCTGGGTCCAGTGGGAGCGTGGGCTCTGCCGCCCCGGGGTGCCCTGACCCCAGCTCATCTCGCCCGCAGGCACACTCTATGGGCAAGGCGTATACTTTGCCAAGCGCGCCTCCCTGTCGGTGCAAGACCGCTACTCGCCCCCCAACGCTGACGGCCACAAGGCAGTGTTCGTGGCACGGGTGCTGACCGGCGACTACGGGCAGGGTCACCGCCAGCTGCGGGCACCCCCTCTGCGGCCCCCGGGCCACGCGCTCCTACGCTATGACAGCGCAGTGGACTGCCCCCGCCAGCCCAACATCTTTGTCATCTTTCACGACACCCAGGCGCTGCCCACCCACCTCATCACGTGCGAGCACATACACACGGCTCCTCCTGGGAACCCCTCTGGGCTCTTGGGCCACTCGCCAGCCACCTAGCCCGAGAGGTCCCTCTCAGCTTGTCTCTGGCCTCCTGCTCCCCAGGCTCCAGCTCCACACAGCCTTGCAGATCTCTCTGCTGCCTGAGCTACCCCTGGGGGCGCCCCTGCCTCCGGCTGCGGTGCGGGATTGGGGGTGCAACGCGGAGGGCTGGGCCCGGGCTCCTCAGGGCCCGGCCCAACCACCAGGGGTCAGCAGAGCCCAGGAGGAGAGCTGACAGCCCGGCCTCCCCGGCCCAGGCCAGACCTGGCCCCGGAGCCACTGTGTTGTTTGAATAAACGTGAAACCGGGCGGAGGGACTTGCTGGAGCTCCTAGTCCGACTTCTGTTGAAAAGCGGGAGGGACCTCGGCGTGGCTAGGGGCAGGGGCCGGGTGGCCCAAGGGCAGAGCCTGCTGCTCCTCTGGGCAGGTCCTGCGCACCGGCCGAGGCCGACCCGGCGCGCACCCGAGCGACCCACGTTCTCTCGGTGTCA